AAAAAAACGAATGCATGCGTGTTCTTGGACCCCCTTCTCTTCAATGCAAAGTCGTCGTACTCTTGGGGACTTATAAACATTGTGAACGTCTTAGTGAATAATAGTCAGTCTCTTATGTTCGTACTCACGACATCGTCCTAACCAACGTCTTGTTATATGTGTGTGTGTGTGTGTTTATGTGTCGTTTATAATATACTATAGTCATTTTAAGAAAGGTGCTACCACCAGTGGATAAAAACCGGTTTTTAGTAAAACGTGACACACACGGATCTACAAAATTGTATTTTAAAATAATCCTAGTATATAAAACCACAATAATATTAATTTATTATTTATTATTTATTATTATTCAAGACTAGTATTTTCTTGATTTTGGGGGGATTTTTTTTTTTTTGAGTAACATTGAACATAATATTTAAAAAAAAAAAACGAATGAAGTTACAATATCTTGTTTCTACAAAAGATATTGCTTCCTTTAACAAAAAAAAAAATAATTCAACATTTGATGCTCGTTGCTACTATTATAGTTTTCGTAATTAAAATTAATTAGAAGAAAAAAAGAAGAAGAATACAAAAAATTTCATATACACACACATATATATATATATATCGTTTGTTTTTTTTTGAACGACGATAATAATACACGTATGAACCAAAAAAAAAAGGATATCTCTTTGACGAAGATTTAAAAGCATGCTCGTTATCATTTACCTGCAAAAGAAAAAATAACAAAAAAAAAAAAAAATAATGAAATAAAATAAAAAGAAAGATACAAATTCTTGTATACTTGAATAATATATGTGACGAGTTACATACACGGCAGCATCGTTCCAAAGCATACAAGTCTTGTTGCTTTTTGTAATAATAATAAAAAAAGACCAAAATGATTACATTTTCGTTTGTAATTTAACGCTTCTAATGAAACACTTTGGGAACGTTCAAGCGAATGCAAAATAATTAGCGGTGGTTTCTCGTTGTTCTACCGTTTGCGTCACACAATTAAAACGACGAATGTGTCTTCACTGAAATTCAAGCTTTATCTTATACATACAAATATATATATATACATATATATATATTTTTTTTTCAAAGTATCATCAATCTTTCAAGTTATCGTTGTTAGTCGTTCTTATTCCTTTAACAAATACGTACGAAAAAAAAAAAACAAAAACCAAAGAAGACAACAAATTTTGTAATTTCTTTTACACGTATCTAAGGTAAGTGTAATTTTGTTATTATCATCAAATATTAATATTATATTAACAATTAATTTATTCATTTAAACGAATATTATATAATATTTTAATATCAAATATAAAAAATTTGTTTTAACAATTTTTTTCATTTTACTATTAGAAAAGACTATACAATTTTGTTTATAGTATGTTAAAAGTATACTGAAATATTAATACGAATAGAAACATTCATTTCAGTAAATATTATTTTAATATTAAAAACGTCAAAATTTATCTTAACAATTTTTTTTTTTTTTTTCTTTAATTTTATCATCAGAAAATAAATTTCTTTTAAATATGTTAGAAATACACCTTTTCATCATTGTCTTCCTACCACGTTGGTCTTTCTCAAATATTAATCCCAAGAGATGGGAAAACGTTCTCTACTCGTTGTGTTCACCCAACTAACACTTAACTCGTTGAGATAATACGCTGAAATGTATATCTCAAATATTTTCTCTTAAGATTATTATTATCCATCTCGAGTGTTATTAACGGTGTAACCAACATGATATAAATTAATTGAGTGCATCTCGTAACTTATACGGTATTTGGATTAAATATTACCTAAGTTAAAAGTCTTTTTCGTTATGTATATATATATAGTATATACACCTTTTCGTGAATATGAGTGCAAAAGAAGAGAATGTGTTAGAGAGAAAGAGACAAACGCGTGGAAATTGATTACGTAAGATTTTTCGTATAACCCCACTAAATTCTCATGCCTGAAACTGACAGGTAAACGAGAATGAAATACGCGAGTGTCTCCCAGAAGTGGCTGAACGAGAAAGAATTTTAAAGTGTTTTTCCCTATTAAAAATAAAAAAAGGTAGCAGTACCTTCCTTTTTTTCTTTTTTTATCTTATCTCCTTTAAAATTACTTTCTTTTTTTTTTTTTTTTAATTTTATAATATTTTTACAATCTAACGAAAACACTTTTTACCCTTTTTTGTTTGATGTATTAAATAAGATGTTTGTAGAAAATTGTAATTAAAAAATTAATAAATTAATTATTTTTAATATTAATTTAATTAATAATTCTCATTGGTTGTTGAATTCTTGATTACGTAAATCGTAAAATAAATTTTACTAATTTAATTAATCAAATTAATTAATTAATTACTTTTTAAATATTATTTCGAATTAATAATTCTCGCTGGTGTTTGTGTAATAATTGATTGATTATTTTTTTTTTTTTTAATATTATTTTGAATTAATCATTCTTGTTAGTTGTTAAAAAGAAAAAGAAAAAGAAAGAGGAAGACAAAAACCGGATATTACGCAAATATTACAAACATTAATATCGAAGGATGGAATTAATGTCAGATTAAAATTACACGTTACAGGTGAATCCAACTCTGTTTTTATAATTATCAAAGATTTCGCATACTTAATTTAATATTTTTTTCCTTATTTGTTTTTTCTTTTTTTTTTTTGTCTTTTCAAAGATTAAGCACGACATATAAATGTTTTCGAGATGATTGAAATTTTCATGGCTAAAGTAGAAACCTTCAGTTAAAATATACACACATATATATATTTATACATACACACGATTGAATTTTCCTCGTCATATTTCCTTCTACATATTTCAACTCACGGCTTTACATCGATTAATTCCACCAACTGACCTTCCTTTTCTCGTTCTATGTCAAGGCTAAGTCGAGTACTATGCCAGTTAAAGCGTAAAGAAAATCTTTTACCTTATATATATATATAACAAAGACTTTATATATATATATATATCTTTTCTTCAATATTTTATCATAAAGTTTTTCTTATCTTTTTTCTTTTTTCTATTTTTTTTTCTTCAAGCCATTCGTTAACGAAACGTAGAAAAAAAAGGAATGAATATTTATCATTTGGAAATAAAAAAAAAAGTATTGAGGAAAGGAATAAAAAATAAGTAAAAAATTGATAAAAAAATAGGTAAAATAAAATGAAACTAAATAAGATAAAATAATATAACAAAAAATAAAATAATATTATATAGAATAAAATAATATAAAATAAAATAAAATAAAATAAAATAAAATAACACAGAAAAAAAATAAAATAAAATAAAAAAAATTAAAAAGAAATGACTCGTTTTAAGATCGCAAAAAAAAAAAAGGTAAACTCTTTATACGCGCAATCACGTGGAAAAAAAAAAGGGTAGAAAGGTTACTAATGGGGAAATCGTGTTGAACTTAAAGATGGTCCCGCTCGAGAGCCTTTAAGTATAGTCTTCGGCACGTTTTCTCTGTCCATTCTGGAAATTTCCCGATCGTTTACAATATATATTTATTTATATGCATTTTTTATTATTTCTACAAAATCACGTTATTCACGAACAATAATTACGATTATTTCGAGGTAAAAGTAAAGTAGTTTTAAAAACGATAAAATGGATAACAACGCAACAACATGATGAACGAACAATTATTTTAAACTAACAATTAAACATAATTTACATTAAAATTATTCATATTAGAAATTGTTCGCGTATATAAGGTTATCGTTCTAAAAGAAAGAAATAAATACAACATAATTTACGTTATTATTATTATGTTGGTAATAATAATTATATTTATATACTATTCGTTTATGTAATAAACGAGTAAAATTAGTTTCTTAACGTTATGGAAAAATTTGTAAAAAAATTATAATTATAAAACCTTGACTTTGGAAGTTAATCTTTTTCTTTTGTATTTTTTTGTTGTTTTTACTTATACGTGCATTTCAATGACAAACTGCATTCGTAAGATTATTAATCGTTTTTTTTTTTTATTTTTTTTTTTTTATTACAAATAAACAACGTCGTAAGATCATCAATTCTTATTATAATGTTTTCTTTTCTTTTGTTTATAGCAATTTTTCTCATGACTTTTTTCTTCTTCGTAAAAGG